TAACACGATTACTCAAAAAATATTTGAGATAATCATAATCTGGAAATAAAAAAAGTTTTGCAGACAAAAAACTTAGTTTAAGTTCGAAGATGAGCTATTTTCAAGTTGATCTTGGGGCAATTACCCCAAGAAAAACCTCGAAAAATTGACACTTTTGTATGGGAGGTATCCGTAAATCGACTCCGATTGGCTTCAAACTTTTAAACTTTCTGAGATTTCATTTTTTGGGAGAAAAATAAGACTCTGAAAGTTTGAAGTCAATCGGAGTCGATTTACGCATACCTCCCATACAACATTTTCGAAATTTCGACTAAAATTACCGTTTTTTTGTAAATCGATTCCTATTGGCTTCAAATTTTCTGAAGTTTCATTTTTTGGAGAAAAAGTAAGATTCTGAAAGTTTCATGTTGATCGCATTTGCAGAAGTTTGATTTTTTGTCCTCAATTTTTGTCGAAATTTTCTTGGAAAGAATTAAGGGCCAAAAACCAAACTTCTGCAAATGCGATCAACATGAAACTTTCAGAATCTTATTTTTTCTCCAAAAAATGAAACCTCAGAAAGATTGAAGCCAATCAGGATCGATTTACGGGTACCTCCCATACGAAATTGTCGAAGTTTTGACTAAAGTGACCGATTTTTTAAAAATATTTTTAAAAAATCCAAAAATACGGACAACGGTACGGAAAAGTTTGAGATTACGAATGTAATTCTTTTTATTCCAAACACATACGCACACACTCAGCACGCTCAATCGATGGCATGTGAGTAAATTTTGGTTTAATTCCGACACAAACAACAACGTTGAGCATCAGTGGCGGGCGGAATAGCAATGTTTGAAGAGCTACGAGTGACAGGGGAACCAGGGAAGTTGGATGATATACCCTTTCCGCTTTCCTCCCCCAGTGAATTCGGGGTGATAACGGGAAAAAAAGAGTAAACGGAACGCAACCAACTCTAGTTAGTATGGTGAATCGATCGAGGAAATAGTTGATGCATTCCTATTTTAATGAAAAATCAAATGTTTTCATCATTTTTATTATCAATCATTCGGCTATAGTACTCTGCCTTCACCACACACACACACACACTCTACTCTTCTGCAGTACATTTCGCTCTGCATTTACAAGCCCAAAACTGACATGAGAATCAAGCAATTGCGTCAATCAAATGCATGCACACAACTTTTCCGCTCGCACTCACTCATTCTCTTGCTCTCGTTCTGCTGCACGAATTGAAAAAGTTGTAAGAGCGCAAAATATGCGAGCACCAGAAAACATTGAGTGGAAAATGCAATCCCAGGCTAAATAAATATTGCATATATATATATATATTTTGTTATCTCGTCAGTCAGTCAGTCAGTCGTTGTGTGTGTGATTTTCAGTTTCAATTGCGGATTGTCAAGCGAAGTGAAAAAGAGTATTTGTACAAGAGATAGATGTGGCTGCTTTGGGTATTTGTCAATGCATTCTAAACGAGTAATGAAACCAGATAGAGAGTTCGATGAGTGGAAAAAAAACAACGCAGCATTGGCCACTATTTGATATTTGAACGAAACCGAATGTTACTTGCGCACTGTGAACGAACAATCACACAAGCAATTATCAATTTTAGTTGGTAAAACGAAATGCCAACCCAAATCAAGCATCACTTCACTCACATGCACACATTTCGCAACGCTTTTTTTGTGCAAACACACAGGAAAAAAAGCGACCAGATTTAGAGAGTTTTGTAAACGGACCCCTCCAAAAAAACAGCGCACACATACTCTAACAATTGGGAACCATATGTAATTAATGCTTCATTCTCAGCACATGTAATTGTTTCAAATTGCAACGAAAATTGGTGGAATTTGCTTGTGCAACCGTTCGCCTTCTACCTCTCAACTGGAACATTTCTTGTGATTAAATTTTTTTTTTTTTGCGAAAATCAACAACAATGAGAGAGTCAGTCTGTTTCTCTCTATCTGCGAGTGTGTGTGTTGACACATGATGCGCTCGCGTGAGCGCCGTCATTGATGAATTTCACTTTGGGTGCTGCCTTTTCATTTATCACACATTTTCAAATGAAAACAACAACCATTTTTAACAGTAATAAACGACCTTTATGTCCCTAGCGACACACCTGAGTTAAGCAAAAATGTTCACAATACTTCGGAGAGACCTATACCTGAGTCTATACCACTCGAGCCAATCGAGACAAATGATTTGAATCAATTCAAATGAAGCGAATGGATACTAGCAAAAAAAAGATGATGCAAAAATATTTCCTAATCTAGATGCCACAAAACGGAATCCTGGAATTTATGAAAATTTAAATCATAAGAAATTTTCTTTACCCAGTAATTGCGTCTCAACTTCTTTTGGACAATTTTCAGATTTTCAAGTTTTTTCAGTATTTTTTTTTTTTTTTTTCAAAGAAAAAAGTCCTTCAAATTAAAAAAAACAGCAAAGAAAGTTGTCATTTTGAGATATTCGATAGATTTATTAAAAAAATTGGTTGGTGTCATTGGCGCAAAATTCATTTAAAAATTCGTGTGTCATTTAGATTGCTACGTTGTTGTTCTTGATTTTGGATTAGAATTTTAAAAGTTTTGGATGGTAAAAAGAGGAAATTTGCGATGTGTGTCTTTCGTTCGTTCGTGTTTTCGTACCGTATAATAAAATATACATCAAAGGCCATCAGTTGCGGGCTTCATAACCATAATTGCAATTACAATATGTTTAAAATTTCGTGTTTGTTGATGTGGTTTGCTAGGGAAAAAACCCATGTAAAATTCAATTCGATTTGTTGTTGTTTTGATTGTGCAGTATTTAAAAAGTAACTAAAATAAAATGGATGGAATCTTGGTTAGACACAAATTTCCAATTCAAATTCAAATCGACCGAAACTTTATCGGTCTCAAAAAAAAAGAAATAATAAAATATTTATTATGGAATGTAATACAATATTAAAAAAAAACATTGCAAAAAAGTGCAAAAGTAGTTGATTGTTGATAGCATAGTAGTCAATAGTATCTTATATCAGAAATGCTCTAAAAACGAAAATTTAAAAAAAAACTGAATCCGTTTTGCCCTAATCATAGCTGGTTTTTAGATACAGAAACGATGAAAAAAATATATATTTCAATAAATTAGTTTAGTTTAGATTAGTTTTTCTCTCTTTTTTTCTGCTTATTTGTTTGCTTGCTTATGAAACAACCCATTGCATAACGCTTGTGTCATTGCCACCAGTCGAAATAAGACGTGCATCGTCGTGCATAAATTTAACATCCGTCACATGACTACTATGACCTCCGTATGAATGCGATAAAGTCTGTGAAAGGTACAAATAAAATGGAAATTGATGCATTTTTTTTATGATACCAAGTAAATGATTTAATGAGTGGGAACAAAATTGCCGGTGAATTTTGATGGATCCAAAAATAGGTGTTTTTTCGTCAAATCCAATTTTTAGTGCAATTACATTTTTTTTATACAAATTCAATGGAATATTACACAAATTTTACATCAAGATGTGTTTGCCGCACTGGAATTTTTTTTCGTGTAATTTTTTTTAGGAATAACGTGAATAACAGGACAGAAACATGGAGATGGTTTGAAATGATGGAAAAAATTGCAAGTTGAATTTTGTGATTGGAATTTTTTTTTGGATTGGATTGCGATGGAAGAAGTGAAAAATCTTTTACACAGAGCAGTAGAAAATAATTTTACACAAAGAAAAAAGAAAAATTTTGTACACGAGGATAGCAACTATCTTGCATTGAATTTGTTTCTAAAACAGTGAAAAAATTTGGTGATAAACTTCAAAAAAGAAAAAACAGAATTTGTCTGAAAAAAGGTAATTTGTGAGTGTTCGAGAGAGAGCCTTACTTTTGGTTGGGTCGCTGGATACAAGAACAGTTTCACTTTGCCGAAATCGTCTCCGCTGGCCATGAGTGAACCTTCAAAGTTTTTGCACACTGCATTGATATCAGTTCCATCGGCATGCTCAGGCCAGACGCCAATCGTTTGGAATGAAAGACTGCAATTTTGTGTGGCCCATTTAATATCGTTTGTTGTTGACGATGACGTTATTTGCCGGCACAATGTTGGATTCCCTGGAAAAAAAAAACAATTTTATGGGTGTAAAACATTTTTTTCGCATATTTTTATTTCTTTTGTTGTTTTGTGAAGAAAAAAAGATTGACTGTGGACTCTCTTTGTGAATTTTATCCTCATGGAATAATCATTCATGTATGAATTATTAATTTATTAATACATAATAATAAATTAATAATAAATGCAATATTCACATGTGAGTAATGAATATTTGAAGGAAAAAAAATGTTTCCATTTTGAGGGTGAAGGACTTTTTGAAAATGGCAGAAAAAGCCGTTACTCACAATAAAGCACTTCATAATCTCCAGAGTTGCTTCGCAGCACTTGACTATCCTCGGACCAGTCGACGTGTTTCACGTAACTTGAGTGACCCTGTCAAAAGAAAATCATGATTATTGATCCGAATACAATTCCAAATTGAAATTAAAACTGATAAAAAAATTAAAATATCAATTTAGAGCCGACGTGATTATTGAGATTAAAATCTAAATCAAAAACAAAATTTTGAACAAAATAAAATTATTGATTGAGAGGATTTGAACCAAAAAAAAGAATTGAAATCAAGAGCAAAAAATCCAGAATGAAATTCAAAATTTGGACTCATAGTTTTTGGAAACTGAACATGCTGTAAATCGAATGAAAATGTCCCAAATGAAGCTGGTCACAAAAATCGGATTTTTTCAAATCAAAACGGTCAAAATCGCTTACCGCACATCGTCCAACTTTGGCGAATCGTCTGTAATCATCGCCTACTTGATAGATGTAAATGTTGTTATCGCGTGAGCCAATGGCCATGAGTTTTCCATCGGGTGAAAATTCAATCGCCTGAATGGCTTCCTGTCCATCGATGTGTTGTGTGAGTGCTTCGCGTGTTAATGCATCAAATATGATCCATTTCCCGAACACCGTACCAACGGCAATCATGGCGCCATCCACAGAGAATGCACAGCATTGAATTTGTTCGCCAATATCCTTGCTCCACACCACCGAATGCGACAAAGAGTCCCACAATTGGAGCAGACGATCACGGCCGCCCGTCACAAACTGTGGCATATTCGGGTGAATGGCCAAACCCCACACTTCATCGGTGTGGCCCATGATGACTGGCGAAAAGCCCAACTGCATATTTCCCGTCAATATACAATTTCGCGTCGTTCCAATCAACAGCTGTGAACCTTTTCCTTCGGCCACCACTCGCACCGCACCAAAATGCTGCTCAATCTCCATTTCGATGCCCGTCGGACTGAGATCAGCGTCAAACAATTTTATGCGACCATCTTTACCGCCACCCGACAAAAATCCACCATCTTTCAACGCGCACAACGCGAATATCGAACCGTCGTGCACTTTTCTAAAGGTCGAGATGGAGTTGGGAGAAAATGGAGTTAGAATACCATTATAAACCAAAGAAAAAAGTTGAAATTCAGGTGTAAGCCTTAGACTCACTTCAGCAATCGTGTAATTGTATTCGTTCCACGGCTCCACACCAGAATATTTCCATTCGAATCACCCGATACGACGTCACCGCTCTGCGTGAACGCAAGACATGTTACATATTTTGGCTTCTCTCGCCCTTCAAACACACCCATCCGTTTGTACAGCGTTCCATTTTGATCGAGCGTCCAGAATGCAATGTGCCCTTTACCAGCAGACACAATCTGATTACGATCCAATGGATGGAACTCAACCGCAACTATCGTGTCCACGGAACACTGTTGAACACCAGTCAAAAAAGGTTTCAATAGAAAAAGTGTTGAGTTTTGTAATAAAATTGAAATAAAATTGATAAACAAAAGCAATAACTATTCGAGCATGGTAATAAAAGCAATGTCTTACCCGTGTTTCCGTGATTTTATGGCCTTTTTCGCCACGCTGCCATTCCCATACGGAGATAATTTTATCGGCCGAATCATCGATGGCCACAATCATCGAACCACTGTCGGCCCGACTAAAGCACAGACTGTTTATCGAACCGGTGAACTCACCGACGCCAATCACCATCAGAGTTGCCAAAGATACGGAATTCCAGATCCGTATGTGAGGCTAAAGAGTGAATATGGAGTTGTCAATGGAAATTGGGCGATTTTTCACTTTCAATTCCAATTTTCTGTCTTTTAAATTTTTGAAAAAGACTCTTTGGAAATTGAACCAATTCAATTTATTTAAATTAAAAAAAATTCTATGAATTTCATGCATGAAATGCAAAGCCATGGCTTTGAATCTTTGTTGACAAACATTGAATTGAAAACGTGATAACGAAAAAGAAACTTACTAAAGCGTCGTTTTTATTATGTCCAGCACATTGTCCAGTTGCGACTAGAAGTTTATTTGGATGAATGCACAAGCTGAAATAGTACGAATAATGAATGAACTTGTCTCTAGTTTCACGTTGAAATAAATTAATTCTCATGGCCAATTGCTGTTGGCTTTTGAGCACTGAGAACTGATTAAATAATTAATCTAATTTAAAACACGGCCACTAAAGTGGATTCACCATTTTCAACTATACCGAAAGTACGGTTTAGTTTTATCCAAATGTTATTCCTCACCTTTTGACATCATCGGTGTGACCTAAAACCAAAGAATTTAAATTCAATTAAAGTTTAGCAAAACAAAAAAATTCGTGGCTCTGATAAATTTCGGTCAAATTTGAAGAGAAAAAAAAAATGAAATTACGTACCGATATAGTGACGTTGTGACTGTTCGTCAACGTTGTATAGTACAATGACCGATGCGACAAAATAGGCCATTTCACCGGTGGGCAATTGATAAAGGTTTGAGCGGCAATCTTTGCCACGATACCCATACACCCAGTCTAGTTTGAGTTTCTTATTTGGTGCCGGTTGTACTTTGGTTACATCGTATATTTCCTTCACATCACTCGTTGCATTCAAAATGACTGGACGTCCACGTAAGAACATTTTCACCGTGCCATCATCTTCGTTATAGCTGCATGTTTGTGTGCTATTTGCAAATAAATCACAATTATAAATAAACCAAAAAGCGAGAAAGAGAGAAAAAAACGCGTAGAAAAAAATGCATTATTTATGCATTTCGTGAGCCGATCTGTTGATTGTTATTATATTCGCTCTCCCTTTCTCACTCACGTGCTGCACTCGTTTAAAATAGGCGAATGTAGTTCAAGCGAAGAACTTATAGTTTGCGTGATTGCATTCGCTTGCTCTTGTTTAAACTGAATAAGTTAACGAACTATAAGAACACACCGATCACATGATTGGTTCTTAATTTGTTGGAACATTTTTTTTCTGTTCTTTTCTAGCAGGCAACGAAGAAAAAAATTGCAAGTGCAAAAATAAAGAAAGCGAAGAAAAAGAACAAACTATAGGGAGTGAGAGCAATTAGAACGGAAACGAACAGGCGAGAGGCGAAACAAAATGCATTTAAAAAAAGCAAAATTGAAAAAAAGTAAACAAATCATAACATGAAAGAAACATACCCATGCTTGAGAACATGCCCTGGCAATATTTTTGTCGATAAATTCAATAAAGACTTCGTTGATAATCTAAATCAAAACAAAAACCAAATTCAACGCAAAAACAAACGGAAATTATTTTATACAAACAAAGAATGAAAATTACAACTAAATGAACCATTGAATGATGTTGGAAAAATTAAGAATTTTGTAGATGAAAGGGACAATTTTTTGGAAAGAAAAAATTTAGAAATTGGACAAAAATTAAACAAAATGGAAAAATTGAAAATTTCAAAAAGAATTAATTTTTTTTGCCGAATCAAATCACTTTAGATTCGATAGAGTTCTAAATCTGAATTTCAAAATCTATTGAAGCATGTCAGTGATGATGATGAAGAACAAATTCCTTTCTGAACAACGGTTCTAATCCAAGCGCACTAGACTGACATGTCAATCGCAAATATCTTGCCTCAAACGAATTCTTACCTCCCAACCAGAGCTGACTGTGCATTGAAATCTCCGGTTGAATTCCAGCGTTTGCCTAATCCAGCATTGCCATTGTTCACCGTATTCACTGATTGTGGCCGTGGCGAAGGTGACGGGGCTGGTGATATTGAGTTACTACTAGGCGAATCCGATTGAATCGAACCGTTTGATTGGTGAATTGGTTTGGTTCGGCTTTGATGCAATGAGCTCACTCCGCCACTATGACGTCGAGAGTGCATATCGGGCGTTGTGGTACCCTGCACCGAACGTACCATCGGCTTGCGTAGCTTCCAATCATTGTTTTGCCCACAATTCATTCCCATCGATGAGTTTGAATGCACTGAACTCTGCGATGACACTGAAAGTAAACGGTTTGGATTAGTGAAAGAGGTGAGAGTCAAAAATAAAAAAATTGTGCATCAAAGGGTTAATTTCTTACACCTAGTCAACTTGAATTAACCTGAACTCAACGAGTGATTAACACTTTCATACAAATCAAAATCACTTTCACGAAACAAAATCAGTTCTTTTTTTTCGAACGAATTTAGATTTGAACGAATTTAATCATTTTCTTCAATCAAAATGCTTCGTTTGCATTTTTGTTCGAAATGTGTCGTTCCATTGTTTCTCAATGAAACAATTCTGTTGTTCAAGCAATTTTGCTTCTCAATGATTAGTTTAAAAATGATGATTGAAGCAAATGAGCGAAATGGCAACTCACGTCTACTGAAAACGGGCGCTCCATTCCGTGATGGTGTGTTTGGTGCACTTCGGCCGCCTTGAATTCCTAAAGTGTTATTTGTAATGGCACCTCGTTCGATATTCCCTTCAATTGTGTTGAGACGTCGCAGCACATCGGCCAATGTGGATCGCAAGCATACAATTTCATCTTGTTGCGTCAGTACTCGCCGCTCCAAATCATGGACACGGCCAAATAAGCTCGACTTTTCCGATTCTAACATCTCATCTGAAAGCAAAAGCAAAAAAAAAAATGGTTTTGGTTATTGAAATGTAAACTGAAAAATCGTTGACAATTGCAACGGTTCTAGCAATTTTGAAGTCGTTTTCGTTGGATTTGGGTTTTTTAATTGAGTTATCAACAGTAAATCTTCTGAATCAACGGCAAATTTTGAATCAATTCGATTAAAGGTCTCAATTTGACTGAACTGCCAATTTCGGGTTTAATCGATTGAATTCAACTCTGGCCAAGTATTCCAGAAATGGTGGAACGACCTGGCAAAAATGCAATCCGAAAAGATTTTCGTTGAAATTTCGAAATGCTATGCCTTCTCTATCAATGCACAATGACTGATTAGTCGGCACTAATCTGGCTGTAAATTCTAGCACTTACTCCAAGCATTATAGACACCGGCCATGGTGTCATCATCGTCACTAGAAAAGTTCTGTGGATGTGAATCCATTATGTTGACTATGCTAAATGACTCTGTGCTCTGTCTGTTGATCTATTGAATTATTGGAGATTTGTGTTTGTGCGCGCAAAACAAAGTGAAAAAAATTGTTTGCACAATGGAATCTCGTGTGTAAGTAAATTGAGTGTTCGGTTGTAGCTTATGGCATTTGCAAAGTGAGAAGGTGGCGTTGGGCTAGAGCCATATGTGGCGGCATTTCACATATACACACACACACACATTCAACATCAATGTGTTAAGTAAATAAGTCGCATTTTCGTCGTCGTTCACGAAACACATCACATCAATCACACATGAAACTAGAAAAAAAAAACTGAACGCGAAAACAAAAGTCAGGCCGCCAGTCAATATTGATTTTGAGTTTGGAACGAGCGCGCGCGAGCGAGGTAGTCCTTTTAGTGTTGGAATTTATGAATGGGATGTTTAAACATGCGACCGAAAAAAAAAAACAAATCAAAAGTCTTTCATTTGCAGCAAACGCGCGCGTGTCATGTCGTTGTCAACGAGAAACATTTGTGTGTCTGATTTGTTCTTTTTTTTTCTGCTTTCGTTCCAAAAACGTGCAATTTTAACACAACGACACACTCAAACAACAGCACTACCACCAACAATAACAATAACAACAAAAATTGTCTAAACAAGCGCTTGAATAACTATCACTGAAACAATTTCGCATTTCATAATTGCACTAAATGTTTTTTCTAAAAATAATAGACGAAAAACACCATGTGAGGAACGAAAATGTCTTTTCACATCGACTGCATTTATAACACAACAACAACGATGACCGACGACACCGAAGAAACAATATCTATATCAAAAAAAAATTGCTCTGCTGCTTTCAAGTGAAAAGAGCAACACGACAACTCGACAAGCACTTAAAAAAATCAAGTTGAAAACGCTGAACAACACGATAACAAACATAAACAAATAAATGAACAACACTGACAATTTGACATCTAAAATGTCATTTGACCGAATTAGTTGTGTGTTGTGCCTATTTTGCGCTTTACGTTCGCAGCTCTATTTCTCTCACTCACTCATGCCGTGCTCACTGTCGGAAAGACGTCAAGTCAATGCGCACAAAACTGCAACCGAGACAACAAACACACTGCACATTTGGGTTTTTTTTTGGTTGCTTCGTTTGAAATAAGGGATTGAATTGCAACTGAAATGGGCTCGAAGAACTTCGAGACGAATGACTGAACGAGACACGGAAATATAGAGCAAAAAGGGAAGAGAAGGAGAGAGAGAGAGAATGAACGAAAAAATCCTAATTTCCTGTGTGTGTTTCGGTATTGCACAGGAATCGGATGTGGAAGAACGGGCGCACATTTCAAAAACCTATGCTCTATATGTACGCTGTGCTATGCTATGTCTAAGGCGGAGCAACAGCCCAAATGTTTTGTTTTACTCGGTCGGTTGCTATTGGATTTCTCTCTCTCTCTCTCTCTCTCTCTCTCTCTCTCTCTCTCTCTCTCCCTCACTCAGTATTACTTTTTTCTTCGTGCTTTAAATTTAAAAAATGTAAAGGAAGTTCAATTAATTGTGTTAAATAAAGCCGAAATAAACAAGAGGAAAATTGATATATATTTTTTGGTTCGACGTCGTCGTCGTCGTCGTCGTTGCAGTATGGCATAAGGTGAAGTGGAACGTATTTCAAGCGGCAAAAGAATACAATTGACCGTTGGCACTCTCTCCAGTCCAACATAAACTACGCACAAATGTTTATGTCCGATGAAATATGTTAATCGGTAGCTGTAAATTCACATGACCAACCGACCGACCGCACTTCTCACATGCTGCGCGACGGCAAGCGTGAATATGAACAAATAAGGAAATGTTACACCATCAATACATGGGCCCAATGAATTGGATTAATTAGGCAAATGCACACACACACACACGATACTATCGCATGCAAATATGCAACGCATTGATTTATTCGATACTATTTTATGTGCACCGGTTGAACATTTGCCACAATCAACGCTACTACACTTCCAGGGAACGTTTTTTATGACTCGACTTGCTTGGTTTTTTTTGTTCATTTTTGCTCATTTTTTTCTTCATTTTATTTCTATTTTTTCCATTTTTTTTCATTTCTTGCGCATTTTTCTTGCACTTCGTGTTAAGAAGTTTCCTTCTATGTATTCATTGGACGTTTTTTTTTTTTTGCTTTTACAAAATCGAACTTGAATTCAAGTTTTTTGCCTCGTTTGTTTTTTGTTCAGAATTTTCTATTTTTCAAGACTTTTTTTTTCGTTTCTTCCGATTTTTTTCTTTCACTTTTCTTGGCGTTTCCCTTTTTTCGAGCAGATTTTCCACTTTTTGTCTTGAATATGCGATTGAAGTTCAGTGGCATTTAATTTATGGGCTGCTATATGGTGCGTTGCCTTTTGTTGGCAGTACAACATAATCTCATCGTAGCAGTTGAGCTAGACGCATGCCTATTTCAGGATGTTCAACTTGATCTCTGTGTGTCGCTTTGGTGCAGCACATGTGGGGTGAAATTCGAAAGCCGACCAGGTTAACTTGACTTAATAACTAGTCTTCATATACATAACAAGTAAAACGATATGGTTTTTTTTTCTCTCATTCAATTAAAAACCCAAACAAAAAACGCGTGCACGTATATGCGTGTATCATAAGCCCGAAAGGTGAACAATGTTCACTACTTGTCTATGTCTGTGTATTTTACTTTTACTTTACCTGTTGAGTACTGTTCGTGCTCCATAAAGCGATCTTCGTTATTTAATTCGGTGACTATTTGACCACTGCTTATGTCCATGCTGCTACTGATGTTGTTGTTGTCATTATTATTGGCTTTGTCTGGATCAGCAGCAATTGTTGAGACGGTTTTTTCGGTGGTTGTTGTCGTCGTCGTTAAAACGGCCACCGAACCATTGACCCCGTTCATGTTTTCTTTAAATCTACTCCCACCGATAACCACTGAACAACTCTTATCGATTGTTTCGACACTAATCGATTTTTTTTCGGGTGAAGTTTTGAAAAAATTTCGTTGATAGTTCACAATTTTTTCTGGCTTTTCTGAATAGTTTAATTGGGTTTCGTTTAAAGTCGTCGTTTTTCTTTTGTGATCTCAGTTTTTTTTTTAAATCTTTTTGTTTTTCTTTCCAATTTTCTTCACTTTTTTTTAAACTTTTTTGGCTTCTTTTCTCAATTTTCTTCGTTTTTAATCCGAAATTCCTTCCTTTTCTGTCTTTTGCACACTGTTCAGTCAATTAAACACCTTTATCACAAGCAAAATAGGTTTCAATTTGGCAACTGTAGTTTTTCTTCACAAATTAACACTGATTTAAATTTTGGCCACGCACAATATTTTCAATAATTTTTCGTATACTTTTTTGGGCACTGAAATTAACACTTTTATTCGATAAAATTGGCACTCAATTTTTCAATTGACACACGATTATGGTTTTTTTGGCAAAAAAACGCTTCAAAATTTTACATTCCGTCCACAAAATGTTACGCTTTTTCCGGAAATCTTGTTCGTTCCCGTTCTAATTGTCAATCAAACTGGACCGGCGATGAATCATAAATGTAGCAACACTCAAGAAAGAAAGAAATTTTCATTGACCTTATCATTTGTCGTGTCCGTGCTGCGTTGGGTGGCTTTCATTCTTGGCCTGAAATCAAAGAAATGGCAATTTTCACTTTTAATTCGAGAGAATTATGATGTAAGCTGCTTGAAATTCGGTTGTTTTTTCTTTGTCACTGCTGAGATTTCATATATATGTTCCAAAAACAAATCATGATGTTATCGAATCCGGTGGAATTTGTACTGATTTGTTTTCTGTCGTTGTTGTTGTTGTTGCTGTTTTTTTTTATCTTTAAGTTTTGTTGTGTTTCATTTTTTATGTTCAAATTTGATTGTGTTTTTTCTTCGTTGCGAACAAATATTCGTTGCTTCAAAATAGATTCGTTGAACAAATATTCGTCGTTTCAAATGTTGTTTCGTTTTGATTGTTTCTATTTGGTCGGTGCTAAAAATGTTGTATGTTTTGGCTTGTTCGTAACCGGACACCCGCTAATAATCATTCACGCCTCTTTTATTATTTTTTGTTACTAACGCACCGTCGCTTTTTTTTTTATTATCGATCAGATTAACATGATTAATAAATGATTAGCTGTCTTTTGAATATGTACACAAACACCGTTAGCCTTCGTCCGTTCGTTTCGTTTGTTTTTTTTTCGCGAATAATAATGATTTGATTGCGCAGAATGGTCATACGGTTTTGATGCTTTCTCAAAACAGCGGTAAATAATGCAAAAAAAAAGAGCGGTGGTGATTACGCGAAAGAGTGGAAGCGAACGGACGACGAGCGAGCGTAAGCGCAAGAGCGGGAGTTGCTCGCAATTGGAAACGCAACGAAAGTGCGACAAGAATAGATAGCAAACAGAATAAATGACACTGAAACCGGTTTGTTTTTTTCGCCAATGCAAACAGAAATTCAACGGCAGCGGCGGCGGCGACGACAAACGAAATATAAATAAATAGAGAAAACAATGCCAAAAACAGAATCTCTTTTAATTTGACTAATTGTGTACTCGCACACTTAGGAATTTCTTGGTGTTTTCTGATGTTGTTGCTGTCGTCGACAGCCCGTCGAACTACATCGAAATTTCGACTGACGATTCATTTAGAAATCGTTTTGTTTGCAAACCAAAACCATTCAATGGTTTATTTATTCATCTCGTCGTTTTGCACAATTTCGCTTGCGAATTCGTTCAGGGACAGAACAAAATTTGGCAATGACGATCTATTATTATTTTCAATTCACGTGTGTGCTGTACGTTCCATACACAATTCCACCAAATAAAAAATAAAAACGACGACCGAGAGTGTATTGAAACATTTTTTACGCTAGCGAAGCGAGAAGCGACTAACCATTTTCGCAACAATTTGTATGGAAGAATTCCGATGGACAGACTATCTTATGCTATACTCATTCGCTTGCACTCGCGAAACAGTTAAATCGTTTTCCATCGACCGATGACGACGACGACGGCCACGGCAGCGGCAAGCAATTATGTAAAGAATGTACAAAGAAAGATCGACAAGAAATTCTCAAGCAACAACAACAAAAAAAAACAGCAGAATAACCGAACGAAAATTTTATGTAGTAGAAAACTTGTTTTATGGGAAAAAACGGTTTGCTCGTGTACACAATATGTGCTAAGTTGTGCCCGAGTGCATGGCATAGCAGCGAGTCAATATGCCGTGAGTCAATAAGAATATCGGTACGTACATATATATGCAATAGAATGCACTCGGTTAAAGCATGAAAATGAATACGTATCGAATGCACCTATTCTAATGGAATCGGGCAGTGTGTGTTTTTTTTTTAAATTTGAAATTTCATTCGGGTGCTGTGTGTATGGCATGCACTGTATGCACTGGCCATCCGATGATGAAAAAAATGCTATACCAAATACCATCCGGATGTGAAGGTTAACAAGTGGTCGTCGCAATCACATGGTAATATACACCGTATCACACAACCTTTTGAAGGCACACACGAAACATTTGTATTGTGCGATGCACAACATTTATTATGCCGAAATTCACGATGCACAACCAATTTCTATAGGCTCACCGACATTTTGTTGTTGCACACCACATTTCGAAACACAATTGAATAAACAACGCTCGGGATGTTTTGGAACAACAAACATTTAAACGATCTTTTTTTCGACGGTGCATTTCATTGAGTTTTGGTGATTTTTGTTGATTTTTCCTTCAGGTACAAAAACAACGTCATTTGCCATGAAGTTTATTACGTTTCTTCTTCATTCTTCCGAAAAAAAGAACACAATTTTGGGAGTTGAAAAACGATGTTTTTTTTCCAGAGGTCGTCTTGGTTAGGAAAACGAAGAGTACATCTTTAAAAGCAGAAATATTTGGATAGAAACATATTGAAATGCCCAATTAAAAACCAAATTTCAATATGATTGATCAGTGCCGTAGCGTCCATACATACGTTTAATATTCCGAGGTGGAAAACGTACACCGATTCCAGCATAGAAAAACTTCATGAGAGATAGTAACCGAATAGAAACCGATTTAACAAAGATTAAGGCCGAAAAACTAACATCGAAATTCCAAAACCAAAGAGAGCGACGATTTGAGAACAAAAAGACTGGAATTTTGGGACTGAAAAAATAATGTCATTTCTGGAGAAAAGACAGATCTTCGAAAAACAATGCAATTCTATGAACAACACCACACTTGATCGCTGTTTTTTGTTACCTTGACGTACGATTTGTCACAATTTTGTTTAGAAAAAAACCGAACTTTTTCGTGTCAACCGAATTTCGTCTTTTGTCACCAAAGTATCCAAACTCTCCATGTGTGTGTGTGTGTGTGTGTGTGTGAGAAAGAGAGAGTGGCTTGACAGAATGTCGCTGTTGTTAATTAAAAGATGAGGCACTTGAGAATTAGATTAAAGTTCGCACTGAAACGTTTGTGACACAAACACACGACCACTGTACAAATTCATTCGAAATGAGCGATGAATTGCAGTGTTGTCGAAACTGAGTCAAAAGCAGCAGCAACAACAAAAACGAAATTCATTCACATACGAGATTATTTGTTTGCATAAGTTTCCGAGTATGTGTGTGTGTGTGTGTGTTTGAATCGGGTGTTCATCACATACGGTGCTGTTGTTCTCTCTTTCATATTCGATTTGTGTCGCTTTGGAGAAACAACGAGAAAGAAAAAAACGCTAACAAAACCGATGTGTATCGTTCCAAACGAAATCGATGTGTCGCATTTTTTTCTTCATATTTCACAATTTCAACCAAATTCGATTCACAATTGTTCCAAATGTGATTCTGAATCGTGGTTTCATCAAAAAAAAAAAAAACAAATATTGGAACAACAAAATCTGGGCACACCAAAAACGAAACAACATCGATAGATCGCATTTATCATAAATACAGTTCAATTTAATAATCACCATTTATGGATTATTACGAAGAAAAAAAAAACACCACTCACTCACACTCGCATCAATGCATATGCCGTAAAAGTCAGCAACTTGAACGACGAAATTGACAAAAATGGTAAATGAGACACAATCCACGTTTGGGGTCACATGAATTTTAATCGTTATATCTAGATTGTGTGTTTTTTTTTATTTCTCTGTTGTCACCAAGAAAGAAAAAACACACCACCAAACCTGTGAGGATGCGGGCAAGAAAAACGCTAAATCACACACAACAACGAAAATTTCGGCAAAACAACGAAAAAAAAAAATTAATCTAAATGTCTATGGACGCCAACTCGAGAGACGATCATCATAACACCGACTGAATTTTTCGTTCAAATTCTTCTCTTCTGCCCAAAAAAACACATAACACACAGCAAAACATACAACATACAAATACGTTGTTTGACGTGATGGATAATTTTTTTTTTCTTCTTTGGTTTCGGTTTTCTGTCCGTTTTATTTTCAGTGTATTTTCCATGTGTTTTAGAGCGGCAGCAGCAGTGCGCTCACTGTATACAGTTGAGTTTTTGTCCATCAATACACTCTTTCACACACAGAGAGAGAGACACACACACACACATCAACATACACCATCACATTCACTCACTCACTCACTGCCGACTCACAATCACACGGAAAAAAAAAGATCGGTGTGTGTCGCTTCTTAATGAAAATGCGCACATCAAATACATAGAACAAATGTGCGTGTACCTGCGCATAATATTATACTGAAACAATAGTGCCATCATCACAATGGGCAACCCAAACGAAAGCAAAATAACACAAAAACCAATAATAAAAATGGGAGAAAAAAAAACAACAAAAACGAATAAAAACTACGGCGAAGTACACAAAAATGAGCAACTAAACACACGGACGATGGGTGCGAGCGAGTAAGAGACACTAAAGTGCGCAGCGCAAACGAAATGCAGCGCGAAAAAATCAGCAGCTAAATAACAACAACAACAACGAGCGAGCGAGCGCGCGCGATATACGGTGGAATTGAAGAAAGGAAAAACTGATTGTTATTATTTGCTCACCATACGTTGCAACTGAGAAAACTGAAATCAAATCAAACGAAATGGAAATAATGGCACAAACAGCATAAAAACTATGCACATATTATTATGTGATTGCAACAATACCAATACCAATCAAGCACACGTCAACACGATTCAGTTCTTCGCTTCGAGTTTTTTTTTCCCATTCCTACTTCTAAACTGAAATGATTTCAACTCCACTGTGATGAAACCAAAACTTTGTTATTTCATATCGTTTGTGCGTTTGTTTCGTCTTCTTTGTTACGACTACTACTTCTTCTTCTTCATTCGTTGTCGGTTGTCGTTGTTGTTGTTGTTGTCGGTGTTTTGTTTCTGTTGCTGTATCTCTCTATTCCGGCTTCGGTTTCATAGAGCGCGCTCAAACACTCAAAACACACACCGACCATGTGTGTATACACATTGTGATACATATGGAATGTGTGACTGTGCACACATGAGCGACGGCCAAATGCAAGTGAAAACAGGGTGATCATCGATTAATTCATACGACCACTGGTTTGTCGCTGGAACGACAACACATTATCAACCATTCCAATTAGCTACTGCCAAGTGTATATATTCGACGTCGGATGCTTTAATTTCGTCCGGTCCGTTTTGTCCGTTTCTTCTTTAAATTATAAATCAATTTAACCAAATTTTCAATTAGAATAGACAATAATCGACTATTGTCTCCCTCTTTTTTTTGGTTGTTGTCCCAATGGCAAACCACCAACTCATTGTATATTACTATTTTCATGCCGATTGTTCGGTGTGTTATGAATCTAATGAGTTAAACTGTCGTTTTGCTTCTTCTTTTTCTTCGTCGCTGTTTGATTCTCTCTCTCTCTCTCTCTCTCTCTCTTTCTTTCTCTCTCTCTCTCTTCCTCCGTCATTCTCTTTCTCCTTCTCTCTATCTCTCTTCCTATCGTAGTTCTCTTATCGCTCTTGTTCGCTCTTATTTGCTATCGCTCATTCACTCCTTCGCCTTCACTCTCGTTCGCCTTCTGTCTCTTTTTCCCTTTCACTCTCTCGTTCATTCTCTATCTCTTTCCCTCTTTCTCTCTTTATCTCCCGCTCGCTCTTTCCACTCTCTCCACGCAGCTATTGCCGCACTTTTTTATCCAAATCATTTTATGATGGTCATATGTTTGTTGCTATGGTTTAATAAAATGTGTCGTTCTGCTCTCGCTATGGTTTTTGTTTCATATCGGCTCACGGTTTGAGTTATGTCCATGCCGTTGCTCAAATGACGTGAAGCAATGAAATCGGAACACAATTGAAACCAACTCAGTCATAGATGAATATATTTCAAATGTACACACATAAATCGCGACGCAACAAAACAAATAAATCATTTAAGCCATTCAACGTTCGCTGTTGGATTTCATTAAATCATTTGCTTCGTCTCTACATCATTGTTATGCATTCCGGATGACGAAGTCGATTTATTGCGTGCAATCTGCAGATCTTACGAGCATTTCGATGCATAATTTCTGTGTTCATGCTCAGCCGCATCAACAAACCACAACGTTATCACAATGGCATTTATTCATTGTTTTTATTTTTATGGTTAAAATGTACAATCGCCAGTTCAGACGGATTGATACGGTTTTTGGTTCAAGGGAGAAAGTTACTGGAATTTGACAATAGGTGGTATTAGTGTGCACGACAAGCATTCACGTTCCATAAAGCTTCAACGCTTTTGCCTCGCTTTTGCTTTTCTACGATTAAGTCGATGGTTAAGGGATTTTTATTGTGAAACGCTGCGAATTCAAATTTTCTCGAATCATTCTCTTTGTTTTTTGATGGAATAGGACATAAATTGAACTTGAATAATTTACAATTGTTCTGAACAAAGCACTTGGAAATGAGAGAAACAAACGAGTTTTGGAATGAATTTGAATTGTATATCGACCATTTCCATTCATTTATGAATTATTAGCTACTTACTAGTAGCTGCCGATGCATTAATTTTGGACGTTTGTTTTTAACCCGCTTTGGCCTATGCCTTCAGCACCTGAAGGCTTCCAAGTATCGAATTTTCGACAAGAAATTTTTGAATGGTGTCCAAAGAAAGAAAAAAATGAAAAGACAAAAAAGGTTTAAAGAAGAAGTTTGACCTTTTTTGTGTTATTTTGGTATCTTGATGGTCTTTAATAGGGAAATTGGTAAGTTGTATTGATCGAATAAATTGAAAAAAAAAATCCGTTGATTTCTCTCGTTCCAAATTTTTTCCGATTTTTCGTCAAAAAATGAAAAAAAAGTCTAAAACTAATGATGAAAGGTTTTGACAAATAGTAAAGAGAGTATAAAAAGTTCCAGCATTTTAGCATCCACTGGAAAGCAGGTTGTGTCCAACTGGGTTAACTTAAATAACGCATATTCATGTCGACTGTTCAACGTTTGCTTGAAAGAAAAGAATCAACTTTTTTTTTTCCCTGAATACCATTTCCATAATCTTTCTAAGAACACATTCTCCTATCGCAAGTCAATGTGCAATGCGCACATAGGTTCAACGAAATAGTAAGCTTCCTGTGGTATCAATGCTAGCGATTGGAGGGAATACAAAAAAAAAAACTCGACTACATAACAGCTCAAAATTCAGGCAAATTGCTGAAATTGATTCAACAAATCGGCAGCCAGTATCTTGCATCGCATGATTGTTTCAGTTTGAGATAACTGACAATCTCGACCGAGCAAAAAGACGATATGAATGCCTGTGCGATCAGTTCATTCGGCAAAGATCGTATTTATTATCACATATTCGTTTCGTTTACTTTCCTCCTTTTTTCGTTGACGGACGGAAGTCAATTTGTCGTTGCACAGTAGTGTGTTCGCACACGATTCCTCATTTTCTGCCAGAAACATTTGGATTTTCAAAGAGTCAACATCAATTTTTTTCTCTAGTTCATTGTGAGAAGAAATAAGTGATCATGGCAACGTCATATTTTTTCTTGGTTTCACTGTGTCTAACGTGGTTGGTGTGCGGCTTGAATGCTGAAGTGGTTAAAACTGAAACTTGTTATTCAACACCAGGTACTTTTTCATGGCATGTTTTTTTTTATTTTCCATCCGATTTTAGCACCAATGCATGTTGAAATTTGCAGCATTTTCATCGCCATCAAAATTGCTTTTTTTTCCTATTTTCATTCAAATGTCCATGCAATATTTACCTCAAAAATCATTCAAAGAAGGTATTTTTGGACTGTTTTTTCGCATTCTTAATGAATTGAATACCTGTGTTTTTTGACTGTCAATCGATTAATTTGGGACTTTTTGATTGGCTAGTGGATCAAAAGTGATTGTCTTGAACAGAACGATGTTAGTTGACTTCAATCATAAACCACTGTCGAATGTCCCAAATTAATAGACTGACTAAGAGAAACGTTATCATCTCCATACAAAATAGTTGATTTTAATCAACTTAGCCGGTTTCAGTTGTGCACCACTACATACAAATACATGCAACGGTGTGACTGTAAGTCATTTTACTTCCACACAGGATAGCTATTTATTTACATTTTTGTTTCATTCTAAAAAAATTTTATTCGACGCACATTTGGCGAGCCGTTCGAAATGCACGCTAAAATGCGAAGATATATTGCGAACATTGTGATGCATTTTTTTATGTGTTTGCCGTTCATTTTACTTATCTTTTTGTGAGTATATTTCCATTTTTTTTCTCGAAAATCAACATGATTCAGATTGTAATTTCTATACTCAAATTCGTGTCGTTCAATAATTTTCTCTCTTTCTTTTGCTCTCTCTTTCTCATATGCTCTTTCTTTATCTCTATCTCTCTCTCTCTCTTTCTTTCAGCTCCTTTATTCTTTCCTTCTCTCAAATTCTCTTTTCCGATATTTCTTTCTCTCGATTGCTGATTTCAAAGAAACGGAGCACTTAAAGCAAAATATTACACATTTACTGATTATGCATAGAAAAAGACTGGCACAAATTCAAAACATTCCTATAATCATCGTAGTTTAGATGGGACCCTTTGACCCATGATTTGTATTATCAATTTTTAGCTTTGTCAATTCCTGGCTAAAAACCGTATTTACTTCTTTTTCGGAACAATAGCCTAGGTTTGGGTGCGTTATTAGTTGTTTGACCTATTTTGGCATATAACTCCTGAATATATTTGAAACGTGAGCTCAATTTATGCTAAATCTATGTCTCATTTGCTCGATCAACGTCAACATCACAACCAGCATTAATACCATCAGCATCACTATCACCATCAGCACCTTTATCATCACCACATAATGTATCATCTAATATCCAACTGAATTTTTGATTCATTCCATTAGGTCAGTGCAAAATAAGCGAAGTACGTATCGATCCTTGCCGTGAGGCATCGGAAAATAGGCCATGCGTTGTGAGGAGAGGCACCAATGCACAAATATCATTTGATTTTACACCGGGTAAATAGTTCTGCATGCCAAATTTGCATAATAACAAATCCTGCATTTCATGTAGTGCTAAAAACAAATACAAAATGAAATGAAAGAAAATGAAATAAGAAAAAGAATAAAAGAAAATACATCCTTCTGTAACATATATATTTAATTTCACATTTTGCCTGTCATTTTGATTGCGACACAGAATGGAGTGTACCTAATGTCTATAGTAATGTGTATTCGGTTGGTGATGAGGGCGATTTACCAATGCCAGGAATGGACACCGACGGTTGTAAATTCACCAGTTGCCCATTTCAAGCATCAACTAAACAAACCTATACCTATAATCTTCCCATACAGAAAAAATTCCCAAAGGTAAGGGATCTTACAAATGAAGTTTTCTTTGAAACTTTCAACGGAATCCGTTTCGTTTGAAGGCACTATGTTTTTTTTTTTTTGTTAAATTACCACTTCACTGTGTTAGTTCAATTTTTTGTGACGATAAATAATTTGTTTTTTCAGGGATCATACTTAATTAAATGGATCCTTCGTGACTTGGCTAATGAAACCAACACCGACACAATGTGCTGCTTCACAACCAGAATTAAGCTCATTAAGTAAACATACGGAACGAGACTATGCACTGCATCGCGCAAATATTTTGGACATTCGCTTATAACTTGGTTTCTAGTGATTTCAATGGATAACTCAAAGAAAATCATGTTTATAATGTAATTCACGGTAAATGTGCACATCCGAGCGCTGAATTTTAAATGAAATAAAGAAATTTTGTATTGAATCAAAGTTACTATTTTTTTTTCAATTAAATGACGTGATCATTTTGATTTCTCTTCAAATTGTAACTAGAATCGATTTTTGAAAGTCTAAAATAATGGCCCATTTCGGAACATGTTCCAGACATTATTAATGGGAAAAAGTATTTTGAACATTTCGACTCAATTAAAAATAGAAAAAAAAAAATTCGATAAGCCATCAGCGTTCATGTTCACAGTTGAATTTTGTTAAATCATTTGCTTCGTTTATTCATCGTTTTTGAGCGTTGACATAATTACTCCTATTTGGTTTAATCAACAAGCTCACGAGCAATTGATGCACAATTTCTGTAATCAACGTTATTATAATAGCATTCGATGTTAGGATGTACACAAACACCCTCTCCCTGTGCACCAAAATGATTTCATGATCCAAAAACAAAGTCGGTTCGAACCAGCCCAGTATGAGCCGTGAAATTAAAGTCTTTTTTTTTTTAAACAAAATTCACTTGTTTAGCCACTTTTCACCAATTAGCGTATGTCCTGAGCAATTCCATGCAGTGCCGTCTTAGCCTGGAAGCGAATGAAGCAGCCGCTTCAGGGCCCCCCGATTTCAGGGGCCCCCAGCTGCTGAAAAGGCCCTTGAAATATTAAGAGAAAATCTTATCAAATTTAAAAAAAAAACATTTCAATTTTCGTGGTTTGTTTGCTGTCTACAAAACAGATGATGCGCGTGACGACGACGCCGTGGAAATTGCTTTGGCCCTATTTTTAGCTTAAATAAAATCATTAATTATTTCATCGAAGTCCAAATTATTCAAAATTTCACATTCAATCGATAAAAATGCGAATGCATTGAGTTTTTCTTCACCCATAGTGCTTCTTAAATAATTCTTTATATATTTCAATTTTGAGAATGACCTCTCATCGGGTACGTTCGTGCAAAACAAAGACAAAAAAATTCTTAAAAGGATTTCAAGATTGGGCATGGTCGAAATCAAATCTTCCTTTATGATTTTTGAGTACATTGAAAAGTGAGAAAAGTTCGGCGAATCGAATTCAAAATATTCTTTTGCAATCTATTCATCCAATCATTAAAACCAACTGTTGTAAAAGATTTTTGCTGGCTATGGTCACCGAACAACCGACAGACAAAGCAAAAAATTGATTGAGTTGAAGGTGAATAAACAAGCCAATCGCGTTCAACTTTTGTGCCGTTTACCAATTCACGTTGCAAATGATATGTAGAAAATCGTCGGCCAGTAGCCGATGTTTGAAATTGAGTATCAAAATGTTGACAATCTTTTGGACCTGAAAAGTTTATTTAAATCGTGAACAAATGCGATCAAAAGAGTTGCGATGCCGAATAAAAATGTACCTAATTTGGCCCAATATCGTTGCAGAGTTTGTAAATCATCAGGAACGTTCTACAGTGCCAAATCAGTAGGGAATCGGAATTGTGACTCAGAAGACAGTTGATATGCAACACTTGATTGTGACACATTTGAAAATAGCTCTAAATTTTCGGATGCATTACAGATTTCACCAATGCTTTTTTCTAATTGCTGTTGAGTGTCACTTTCGATTTCGATCATTTCATTTTCAGCAACACTTGTTTCTGCTTCAGAGGTGCTTGATTTAGACGTACTTGATTTCGCAACACTAAACATTTGATTTATTTTCGGAATTTTTTTCAACTGTTCTTCTAAAGTTTTCTTCTTATCTTCCGCTAATTTGCGTTTTTGAGCGCCACTCAAATAGATTTTATCACCCATTTTGATTTTTCGTTGTATTTGCGATTACAGTAAAAAATTTAAAAATGTTTTAGACTTTAGAGACTACTTAAACCACTGAGCAGAAACGATTGGATGTCAAATAAGAATGAGTAATCAAAGAATTTCAACTGCAAGACGAAAAAAGTCATATACATATATTTCGCCTTATTTGTTGTTTCTGTCTTACTTTTTGAATGTAAGTAGTGTGACTCACTTTTCAATAGAATGGTCAGTGGAATAATTGTTTACATATCAAAATATAAACAGTTTATCGATAAACCGTTTGAGCGAAATTTTTTATTCTAGGGGCTTCACGCACTCAAAAAATGATTCAAAAACAACAAGTATTTATTCTATTGACGTATAATCCGGTAAAATCCATTCTTGCACGCTGAAACTCACATGAATTCACGAAAACTCTCACATTTGAATTGAATGAATATTGAGGAGTTTGGTGAATTTTGGTGAATTTTGGTGAATTTTGGTGAATTTTGGTGAATTTATGTGAGTAGAAAAAATTACAAGAATTTGTATTACCGACCCTTTTCATTGCTAAACACTAGGTTCGACACTTAGTTTGACAGCTAAGTTGGCAAGACTGTGAAATCTAATTTATCGACAAATTCACTAGAATTCACCAAAATTTATTTGTATCGTTTCAAATTCATAACAATCGTTAAAACTTATTACTATTTATTTATCACTACACAAATTCAATGGTTGAAAATTTTGCGTGAAGCCCCTAGTTTTTATTGCTAAGTATGGTTGACTCTTTCAGACGAATGTAATTAAACATAGAGGGAGAATAGAGATAACGATAGGTTTCGTTTGTCAATTCGAATCAGATGTTGAGTCACATATACATTCGTATGAATAAGAGCGTTCATGTCCAGCAGTATTGAGCAGTAATCAAAACATAAATGAAAAACGGCATAGTTTAATAACTCTGAATTCATCTGTTTGAATTCAATCGAAATTGGCGCAACATTCAAACTATTGAATTTTATGGCTTTGTGCTATTGAGAAAAAAATTTGGGGCCCACGGAAAAATTTTGCTTCAGGGCCCCCGAAAGTGCTAAGACGGCACTGATTCTATGTATTAATTAAAAAATCAATCCACCCTAATCAGCATAGCGAACGGAGCCAGATTAAAACAACAATTTCAAAGCTGCACGAACTTTAATCAATTGTTTGATTAATTCAATAAGTTGGTAGTATCTCGTTTTACGCATAGCGCAATTGCGCATGGATGTGATAACTGACTCTCCGAACAAACATTCCTTAAACTGCGAACACAAAATTTTTTATAATCAACATCAATCCATCTAGCTCGTTTAGTTTATTTCCCTTTTTTCGTCGATGAACCAAAATCGATGTGTCGTTTCATAGTTGGAGAAATTTTTCACTGTGGATCGTGCACGATTTTTCACTTCTTTGTATCAATATTTTCGTTTTAAAAGGGCAAAAATTATTTTCTCGCCGTTTCATTGATTCATGGAGGAGGAACAAAATCAGCAGTGATCATGGCAATGCCATATTTTCACCTGCTTTTGCTGTATCTAAGGTGGTTGGTGTACGCTTTAATGCTGAAGTGGTTGAATTTGAAGCTTGCACTATTTTTTTTCTATCGAATTCTCCTCTCTCTCTCTCTCTCTCTCTCTCTCTCTCTCTCTCTCTCTCTCTCTCTCTCTCTC